AGCAATAAATCTAATATATAATATAATGTTGCATCTCTGCGTGTCAATGTTATGATATTATTTATAGTTTTTCGTTTGACTTTGATACCTAAAAATTGTGTATTGGAGAAGTAATCAGGGACCCGGTAGTTATAGTGGCAGCCAGGAAAATCTCCCAGGTCATGTCCCATTTCTGTTGACTCTTCTTCTTCCGGCGATGAACGAGTGTAACGAGTCGCTTACGTCAAGTGATATTTTTTCTGTGTGGTTCTGCCCGGCTGAGTGTACGTTGGCTGTTGGTTTAGCATCACATGGACCCAGAATGTTCACTTTCAGCACTGTTGGGATATAATAGTGTGTGTGCACGTGTATATGTATCTGCATGTGGAGCATTGGGCTATGTGCGTGGTGGGATTCTGTGTTGCTTTGTAGGGGGGGATATTATATTGACAGTCAGTATCGTTTGCAAAGAGTACGTATGTGTGTTTACATACGAGGTAGGTATTTGTAGTAATAGTGCGTTAGTAATGTGGTTGCTGACTGAGTAGTACAAAAAATCTCCCTTTGCTATTAAACACCAATGAATATCATTATCTAACCTGACAAAGGATGTGTATTCTTGTATATAGCTGTTTGTAAAATTGTTCATCGCCTAAAGCTATATACCCTGATTATTTCGCTCTCTTTCTTTTGTCCATATTTAGACCTACGGTTCAGGAAGATGGAGGGGATATCCAGTACATGGTGAGACTCTGTATTTGTTTACAAACTTGTATGTTTTGTTTGTCAACTACTGATTGATTATTATCCGGGAAATGTTTCAGTTTGCATTATGCTTTTTGCCATAGTTTTATACACTGTATGTATGTGTGCGAGTCGTCACACACACACGATATTGGGGCTAGCCTTGGAACATATTTTGCCTCAGCTATCACTAAGTACGGTAGGACTTAGTATGTAGGGATGGGTATGCCTCTTTTTTAAATTCGCAGGATTTTTTATTTACTACTTGTTCTCTTTGTGGTTTGCCGTGCTCCATAGTACGTAGATACAATGTAATGGGGTAATAGGCCAGTGTGATGTTGCAAAAATTAGTCCATATTGAAGTTTATTTTCCGTAAAATTAAGCGACACTCACGTGCTTTGGCAGCTCTGTCTCACGTACACATGTAGGTGTAGTGCATGTTCACGGGAAGACGTCTACCTGTGCAAAGACAGCAGAGTGTCGTGGGTTCGAATCCAGCACACGGGGGGGTGGCACTTTATTCGTTGCAGAAAAGGCATTGTCCGGGGAGCGTAGTGTAGCTGCCTTCTTGTATCTACATACTTGCTGTGATTCATGGTCCATGTGTGCATGTGAGATGGGATTATGCAGGTGTGTTATGAAAACCAGGGGCTGCACCGTAGTATTAACAGATGCCTCTGTAAACGGGGTTCTAATTACTACTACGTTAGTTTTAAAGCCTTGGGACAGACAAATAATAAAAACATCCTGTGTGCATATACTAATAAATATTTTTGAGGACAAGTTGCGCGGGAGTTAAAAGAACAGCGCTGCAAGTTCCTGCACGTATGAATTAAGTTTGCCCCCTTCGTAACACTGTTTTATAGACCATAGCCGTTGTAAACAATGCTGGGTACTGCATGTATAATGTATACACCCTTATGGATGGCACTAAACTGGGCATTGCATTATGAAACCACAGGTTCCTGTTTATGTGTGTTTGTGTGTTTACAAAGGCACCTAATGTGGAAATGAAACTGAGTACACTTTGCAGCAAAGATAATAATGAAAGCTTGGGACAAATATTTTGCCGTTTTGTGGAACGAAAAACGCTTTTAGGATTGCCAAACTGAAAGCTTTAGTGCTTTTTTAGTTCCCCTTTTCCATTTTTTATTCTCCTGCTTCTTTCAAAATACAGTCTCCTGACTTTTATATTAGGACACGTGTTTAGCTGTGTGGCTCTCGGAATTTTTGTCCCGCGACACAAGTTGCATCGTTTATCATGGACCTTAATGGGGAATCTGTCAGTATGTACATAAGGTAGTTTACTAAAGTTTACTAAAGTTTACTAAAGATGGACCTAAACAATAGGTCCCAGTGAAAGAATGCAATTGAGTTTCCATTTTCAGTAACAGTTTCTAAATTTAGCCATTACATACCGCCACTTTCCCACTGCAGACTGAGATGAATATTCAGTAGACGTTTTATTTTTGTGTGGTGTCGTTGTTTCTGATAGCGGTGTCCAATTGAGGCGTAATCTGGAACTAACTGCACAGGTATAATATACAGTGGAACCTGTCTAATCCGGACACCAATGGGACAGAAGAAAGTGTCCATATTATTAGAGAGGTGTCCTTATTTCAAGAGTTGAATTGCATGCAAGAACTGTTCTTGGGGAAAGAAAAGGTGTCCTTATTTAAGGGGTGTCCTTGGAGAGGGGTTCCACTGTATACACATGTAACCAGACCCACACACACACATGCCTGTAATTCCCTTCTGTGAACGCAGAAGGCAATAGGGGAGTGATGATGGTAGTTACAAACAGATTGGTATAATGTACGTCTCTGGTTATGGGTTTGTTTATGTGTAAATTTATAGGCGTATTTCCTTGGACGTGAGCGGTTGCGCCCACAGTTAGTTAGAGGACATTTCTACATAGTGTTGACAAATTGCTCAAAGGAGCGGAGGAGGGTTTTAGGATTGTATTTTTGATATGCCCCTCTTCCCACATCAATTTGCGATGATGTCAAGTATTTATTCCCAGTTTGCTAGGCAGCAGTCTCCTTATAAGTTCTGTAGGCGTCTTTGAGGATAATCAGCTCACACGTGTCAGAGGAAAGAGAAAGACAAAAAACAAGCTTACATTTTGGGGTTTAAAACCCACATTGAACGTGTGGTTTTTAGAAGGAAATTGCGTGCGTTGGGAGAAAAACGATTTAGTTTCTTTGTCCCTTCTAGCGGTTTTGATATGTGCACAGGGCTTTTCCTTTCACATTGAAAGTGAAAATAAAGTTACTGTGCAAAATAATTATGTATACGTCTCATGTCATCTAGTAATTCTCACGCTTCATTCTCTCTCTTTTTCTTTTTCTCTCCCGCCTCTCCATTTTCTGCCTCTTCTCTCTCTCTCTCTCTCTCTCTCTCGTCTTTTACCAAAGGGCTTTGAAGACGGAATTGTGAAACTGAAGATGCAAGTAAGTTTTGGTCGCCTAATTACTTGTTTTTACTGCAAACTCTAGCTGTATTTGAGGTATTTGGTGTGGTTTGTGGGTCTGTCCTTCCTTCCATTTGCTGGCGAAAAGTACGAAAAGTTTAGGCCTTCATAATTCTACTGAGCAAATTGTTTTAACTGCACACTCTAGCTATGCATACTATGGAAGGTCAGATAGCCTGTTTCTCCCTCCACTTGGTTGTTAAAAGTTTAGGCCGAGCATCCTTTTTTACACAAACTTGATTTCTAGAACTACGAAAGTTTAAGCCGTCCTACTTTAAATTGTAATTTGCACTGCACACTCCAGCTATAGCCAAGGTATTCAGGATTGTTGGCTGGCCTGTCCTTCCCTCCACTTGCTTGCTAAAAGTACGAAGAGTTTAGGTCACCCTGTTTTCCACAACATTATATTACCCCTGATGTGCCCCCCTAACTCCCCATTCGCATCCTACTCAACACACATGCACTACGTATACAAAAGCACCCACTACCGTTACTACCACTTCCATCAGTCTGGAAACTAGGCCTTCTGCCCACGCAGCACGTTATAATGGGCTTCAACAATGGACGTGGGACTTTCCAGTCACAGTATGAGTAGTACTCCAGTCAGAGTGGTGTCAGAGTGGTGTGGTGCAGCAGACTGCCGGTCGCCACCTTCAAGTCCCCTAAACATGAACTAATGCAGCATCCTGAGTCACATTACGTTTGCCCGGTCTCTTCAATTGGGCAGGGTCATCCCCCCGTGTATCGAGTGAAGACTGTATTCGCGTCGAAAATTTGCAATTCATGCGACACTTGCCAAAGCTATACTAGTTTCTTACGAAGGACAGTGCTTTATGCAACATGATGCATGCAATACTTCTCTTTTCATGCGTGGACTATCATCATTGAAGTTGCATGAGACCTGTGTGTGTGTGTGTGTGTGTGTGTGTTGCCTTCAGGATTCATGTTACAGAGGGAATCTTCCAGCGTCTTTCGGGATATATATAATCAAAACAAAACAAAGGAACCTCAAGTCGTTAATTAATGCTTGTTTTCTGTTGTGATTCAGTAAGGTTTTATAATGTGCGTCTACGCATTTATATTATACCATCCTGACAAGGATCGAGGGTCACTTTATACGTACCTAGCACTGCGTTTGTAAGCGTATTATACCAAATTCCCCATCATGGTCCCATACGTATTATGATGCTGGAGATGACTATGCTTAGTATGTACTACTGCTTTTGTAGTGACGTACTTGAAAAGGGAGTAACATGGCTATTGACAATGGTGCAGTTTTAATGGGGAATTATTATGTGCACCCTACTTCAGAAGTGAACCACAGACATGACATTGGGTTAAAAATCATATTAATGCTATATATAGCACAATTGTATTAGTTTTTGGTTGCTATAAAGGGAGGGGTATTTTTAGGTGTGGTGGGGGCAACGGGCTACCCCAGGTCTTGCCCCTCTTCTCCAGACAATAGACTTGTAATGGTTTCAAAATGTGTGTGTGTCCGTCCGCAGGGGTCGTGTACAGGGTGCCCTAGCTCCACACTCACTCTGAAGTCCGGCATCGAGAACATGCTCCAGTTCTATATACCAGACGTCAAGGAAGTGATCCAGGTAACAAACGTATGTGCTACCATTCCGTACCTTTCGCTAGCTACGCAGCTTTTTCACTCTTACTGAAGATAATCAGTGGAAAATTCGAGGGGCAAACGTTGGTAAATTGCTTGTCAATTAATATTGGATCCTCGGCCCAGAAAATGTCGTTTGCAGATCAGAGATGACTCTAAAATGATGAAGATCTTCTCTTTTTCAAAAGTTTCACTGAAACCTCACAAAAACCCTCTGAACAAAGGGTTTAAAGGACACTTGGTTCTGCCCCATTTGTTGTTACCTCTGAATGAGGGACGGATCTGAACAAAGAGTCCCAAAGTCATTGTTATCCATCCACTTCCAACCCCCTTTGATGATGAAACTCCTTCTTCCTCTAACTTTGCCCTTTCTCCCAACACTCCCAGTTACAACTTCCTCAGTCCTCGCAGTTCGCTTCCACAACTTCCACACCGTGTCATCTCTTCCTTCTTTCACTGTGTAGTTACATCATCAAGCTTGTGTGCTTTCTCGTAATGTACAAGACACCGTGCCAGCTTCCAATACATTTTCAATGGTAGCATGGCATGGGAATATTATGCAAGAGAACTGTATAAGACCTTTAAATGGGACACGTTTGGGACATCAAAATGTCCCTTACTCAAAAGGTGTCCATTATTCAGAGGTAATGCACAGTGGGGATGAACAATCAAGTGTCCTTTAATAGAGAGGTGTCCCTTTATTCTGAGATGATTATGGAGGGTTTTTCGCTCTACTGAGGTTGCGTACGTATGTGCAACTGGTAGCTCTGCGTTATAGTAATACAACCCCTCTTCCATTCTCCCCACACAAGGTGTTTGATGAAACAGATGAAATGAACCAGTCAGTGCTGGCCAACATGGAAGAAACATTCAACAAGTGACATGCACAAGTACAATAAACAGTGGTTCTATGTCATAATGAGTATGAATTATAGTTGTAAGTGTTTGTGCAGTTGAGGATGAACTTTAAATCCACTCGGTATATCAGAGGGTGTTGTGTGGTTAGTAACAAGACCAGCCCTCTTGCCTTGCCTTTTCTTGCAGATTATTTCCTTCCTACGTACATGTGTGTGTCGTCTATGATAGGGCAGTTCTGTGGGCTATTCTAGACCTCCATTGGTGCTCCTGTGATGATGTGTGCACATAAAGTATAACATGGCATATAGAACTTTTTAAACCGGTCTACTATTATATAGTCATGGGGTTGTGCGGATGTACACCTATGCATAGGGATAGAAGGCTGTACCGTCGCAATTTCATATAAATATGGGTTTTCCCCAAACTAATGTCACTAATGTCGATATGCTATCCAACAGTGCACACATTTGGCTGGATTATAAACGCTCATTTTTATGGGACACTGGTGCAGTGATGCAGCTGTGCTTGTGTAATCGCCTATTGGTATGGTGTGCACCTTCTTCTCCTCGGCCAGCATCCTCTTGTCCTCCAGAGTCCTCTGTCTGTGGGAGAGGAGGGAGTGGGTGGCCTCGTGCTGGACGTTGGCTGCTTTCGTGAGCTCTGCCGTCCCTCTCAGGATCTTTGGTGCATCTCCTTCTCCGCCTTCTCTGCCTGCAGAGCCGCCTCCTGCGGGGAACATGAACATAGCATAGTGATGGAAGATTCAGATATAGTAGGTAATCAACTGAGGCACTGTAATGGCCAAGGCCACACAAGGGCTCATCAACTGCCTTCTTGTAACATAATCAGGAGTTCTCAACACAAGTCGAGTGTGTCAGTTACAAGAATTGCCCTGGGTGGGACTTACACCGCACAAAACTCATGACAACCACACAAATCATTGAACACGCAGAAGCTCATCCGGTCATGTGAATAAATGGTTGTTATGGCTGCCACACCCCACATACTTTACATAACACCGCAGTTGTGGGAGTACTCGTTTATAACAGGAAAGAATGCATGCATGTGACCAATTCTAAACTGGTTTAAAACCGTTGTCCGAGTCAGCATTAGACTTGTACGTACGTGAAAGTGTAGGCAACAGTGCTGTGGGTAAGTGTATGTGTAGTGTGTGTGTGTGTGTGTGTGTGTGTGTGTGTTTGGTATACACCTGCTGTGTGGCAGTACAATATTCATACACACCCCAGCTCGTGACCTGCCACTACAACACTGCCATGGAGGAGACAGTGTCACTGGGAGAAAAGAGGGCTCAATCGGAGGAACCTCAGCCAACCACAAGTAGCATGGAGGTAGCCCTACCACCAACACCAAAGAGACCAAGGGTCAATGAAGCTGGGGAGCGCAGAAACACAAGTTGATGTGACAGACTGTGTTCTTCGACAAAGTATGGATATGATATATTATCTAGACACCAGTGAAGTTCTCAAAGCCAGCCTCATTCCAATCCTGACATTCTTGACAAACGATGAAACAGAGAAACTGGAACACCTTATGGATCTGGAAATACCAACAGAAAGGATTGTCAGACGGCTCATCCAATTTATCAAGCGTCAAGAGGGAGACAAGAGAGACAGTGCCTGCAGAAAGTTGGTTGCCTGTGTCATACTGACGAAAGAAAATCATCTTGGTCACGTGGATCTCGATGAGATATTCAGTGAACAACTGCCAGACCACGAACACAGTTGCATCCAGCAACTTGTGAGTGAAGCCAAGAGCACCCAAAAGCCATTGGCACCTGAGAAGCCTGTCCCATTCATAAAAATAGAAGGCATTCTGTGTGAAAGTTTCAGTGATACTGAGAGGGTCTTGTGGGAATTTTTCAGTATTGGGGACTATAGGAAACTAGAAGACAAAGTAATTGAGGTGTTTGGCGACCCCACACTAAAGGCTGAAACCGATTGCCACATTGTTGCAATGTGGTTCAAGTCACTCATCGTGATGCACAAGTACGGGGAGTATTCCAGGGCCATTGAAGTTTTGAACGATGCCCTGGAATTGTGCGGGGACATGAACTGCGTCAACAGGACGATATTAGAGGGCCGAATCTATCAGCGTATGTCACAGAACCACCTCATGCTGGGACGGAAGCACGTGGCAATGCTGTGTTTCGAGCAGGCAAAGGACAGACTCCAGATGGTGGGGATCGGCTACGACAAAGCCAACATGTTCTGCAGGGAAGCAAAGATTCTGAGCGCACAGGAAACAGAGTCCAGAGTGAAGATCGAAAAAATGTACGAGAATGCCCTGTGTGTCTTGAAGCGAGACGATCCATATTTCCTTGCAAGTTTTCCATCCATAACACTATCAAAGGCCGCCTTTTATCTCAGAGTGTCGTTTGGCTCCAAAGCAGGGAGTCATATGCCACAGGTAGACACCGCTGACATCCGAAAAGCCGAAGAAACTCTTGCAACTGTCAACGAGAGCAAGCACATACTTCTCGAGATGCGGCAATTTGAGTATAGTTTCCTTCGTGCGGAACTGTACCGACTGCGAGGAAGGGAGAGGGAGGCCAGAGAGCTGTTTCGGGAGCTGACGTCCACCCCAGGCAGCTCTAAGGTTGAAAACATTTTGTCCCTTGCCTGAACAGAGACTAAAGAGCATTGATGGACTGCCGTGATCATCTTCCACTCCAAACTTCTCCATCAACAGTGGTATATCGAGCTTACCACTGACCAGGCTGTTGAGTGTGCTGTGTATAATGTAGGGAACTTATATGACCCTCCATCTAATTTACATTTCCCCTTCTTTTTTTCATGTTTAGCTGCAAAATGCAAATTGGATGCGTTGATGTGCATGCTCTACGGCTTCCAGGAATCTGCTAACGTTCTTTCTGGGTGTATCAAGGGCACTGATATTACCTTTGCAGTCCCATTAGTGTCCACACCCACACAAATTCATTACCTAAGGGATATAACTCACCTTCAACTTGACGGCGTTGCGTTGTTTGAGCTGCTCCAGGTCTTCCTGTAGTTTGTCCACCACCTGGACCTGTTTCCTGCGCAGGCTCTCTGCCTCTCTGGCCTTGGAGTACAGGCCATGCTCCCTGGCCTCGTACTGATTCACCACTCTCTGTGTGAGAGTGGTTTGTTTAACATAGATGGATCGAAAGGATGGAAGACTTACACCCTTAGTATGTTTCATGTGTCAGTTAGTCTAGGTTCACAATAATTATGTCGCATTGCCCCACCGCGCTTTGCCGCGTCGCGCGAGAATAGAATCCATTTCCATCTTCGCGGCACGGTGCGACAGGGCAAAGCCTAAATAAAGGTTTGTGATTTTGAGGGGTCATCAAAAGTTTGGCGTATTTTTCCAGACACATAATTTAATAGCAAATTGAGCCTGTTTCTGGTCATTTGATCAGCTATTGTAGCTCATTTCACTGCTCATTAGCATATGTGAGTTTTAAAAGTAATGTGCCGGCTTTTTGTGAGGTGTTAGGGGTGAAGTTATCCTCACAGAGAGTTGTTTGAGTCTCTGCTGATGCTCCCTCATCTTGACCTCGTTCTCTCTCTCCCCCATCCTGCGAGACCACGCATCCACCTCCCTCCTGTTCCTCCTGGCCGTCTCCCGCTGGACTGCATCCACTCTCGCCGTCTTCTTAGCCTCCACCTCCTTCAACACACACAGCCATTCATTATGCACATTCATCACGTACACTCACACCACCACGTACGTATACTCACTCACGCATGCACACACAAACATTTTACTGTGGCACTTTGTGGGATCAGGGAGTGTCAGTGTACACTCACCTACTAGCATTTTTAGCACCAGTGCTCCACCTCAGCATTATGCTATATAGGTTCACAATATGTCGCATTGCCCCGTTGCACCGTGCTGCATTGCCGCGCCGCGAGGATAGAATCCATTTCTATCTTCGTGGCAGGATGCGACGCGGCAATGCGACATAATTATTGTGAACCTGTAGCCTTACTCTTTATTAAGAGATTACTGTTTTTTTTTGGTGTTAACCTGTATGCGAGCGTCGATCTGGCGACCCATCAGGTCCAGGTGGACGTGCTCAGCCTCATTGGAGGTGAACCTCTGTTGCCCTGTGTTCATCCTCTGCCTCGTCTGTAGGTCCATCAGCTTACGGCCCTCTTTCAACATAATACAACCAGCCCATAGAGAGTTGTACTTGTACATTACTTTGTCTTATATCGGAATTCATCAAGGCCAGGCTCTAATTTTGACCAGGGGCTTACCCTGTCTTTGCCTGGCTCTGATCCTATCCTCTTTGCCGTGTGTTGTTTGCTCCAACTCTCGTTTCCGGTTCTCGTAGCGGCGCCCTGAAGCCTCAACGGCACCCTTCTCTTCCCCCTCCCTGTCCTGCTCTTTCAGGCCATCCTATAGGACAAGAAGGCACACCGTCTTAGAACAAAGATCAGCACTGCTATTGGTGTTGGTCAAACAAGTGGGCTAGATAATTATATATCAGGTTTTGAATGTTCTTTTGGGAGTGAGGTAAACCAGACAATACTACTATTTCAACCATCTTATTAGGGAGTGTAGTTTTTGTGTGTGAAGCGTATGCTCTTTGATATTACTCTACGGTGGTTTAAGTAGGGGAGGGGGGCAAAAAGCCAGAGTGTTTCACGAGCCAGACATTTCTCTACTTGAATTGACATGCGGGTGGTCTCACCAGGATCTCCCTGGCCGTGGTCCTCTTTGCCTGCTGACTGGTGTCTACCGTCATGTGACGCTTCTTCTGGGCCTCCATGTTCATGGAGATGGCCAGAGCTGCCAACTCTCTCTTGAGAGAATGCTGCTCCTCCTGTGAATGGCCGCACACACACACATGGCCTTACAGTATACATACATACACTCAGGTTTGAGTTTACACTATAGGCATCTCCATGTGGTTTTCTGTGGGAAAAACTATGAGAAATGAGCCACTTTAATTATACAAGTAAACTTTTATGCATTATGTCACTGAGAGCCAGGTGACTTCTAAGCCTTTAATAGTAAAAGGTGTGCTGTGCACACACAGACCTCCTTAGCTCTGATGGATTTCTCGAATTCACTACCGAGTCTGTCGATTTCGCTCTTTTTCATCTGGAGTGTGTTGAGCAGGTTCTGATAGCGCCAACTCATCTCCTGCCTATTTATCAAGTGAACAGCACAATGGTTTATAGAGAAAGAAGTCTTAAACTCTCACTCTTGCTTCATGAATTTCTTGGTCTGTTCGTTGAGTCTCTGTCTCCCAGCGAGGGCGGTCTTTGTGTGCTCCTTGGTTTTGTCTCCTCTCTCGTGGAGAGCTCCCTGTGTGTAGGTGACCAGTCCTTCCTCCCGCAGTGCCAACTGCTCCGCCTCATCATCGTGCCTCTTTGCCAGCTCTGCAGGTAGTGTGGGAACGTATATAGCGTAGTGAAATTATCACAGATCCGCAGATTTTTACAGAAAACATTATCTTGTCCTTTAAAGGGCCCTGGTGAATGCAAGCAGCAGTGTGTGTATTACCAGTGTTGAGTTTTCTCATAGTATCCTCAAGGTTCTTTCTCTGCTTCAGCACGTCCATCTCAGCCCGTTTCAGTACCCGCTCCTCCTGTCTGTGCTGCCACATGTGGTCCTGGAGCGAAATACAGTAGACTATTGTAAAAACTCTGAATACTTAAAGAGCACCCATCAACACCATAACATCTAGTAAAGTGTTTTAAAGACTTGCCTAGGCATTCTTCTTGAGTTAATATTGTGGATCACGTCACTTGTCCCGTTCTACATGGAGCATCTACCAATGCCCCCGATGCAAAATATCGTAGTCAGCATGAACACATTGGTGCCAAGTCCTTAGATACCTTTATATCGCCTGGTTTGTTAGGTATCACACTTACATCAATGGCCTTCAGGTGTCCGTCGGTGTCTTCCAGACTCTGCTGAGCTCTCTCCCTCACAGAGATGGCCGTGAGAGCCCCAGACTTGTCTGCCCCCTGCCCCTGACCTGCCTTAGTACTGCGGGGGATGTGAGCAGTATTTGAGGGAGGGGAGCGTGGGACAGCATTAGGCAGCGGCTGCCTCTCAAGCTCTCTGGTAAGTGAAATAGACGGCATGCGTGTAAATAATCACGTATATATTATATAAAGACCCACAGCTCCACAGGTCGTCTTGTGTATTGTATGTACCTGAGAAAGTCTGCGTAGGCAGTGTCTGGCACGAGAGAGTCTCCTGCCTTGGCTCTGGCCGTGAGGGCAGCGTAGCGGGTCGCCAGTTTACTGTACTGTGGTGCCGCCATTTCGACTCTCGCACGCACACACACGTTTTGTTGATTAGGGGGTCGTTGCTGTTGCTGTGGCAACTGCAGTGTGCGCACGCGCGCACGTCTCTTGTGCGCATGCGTGCGGCGCAACATTTTTCGTATCGAGAGACGTCTCTTAGCATTGTCCACTGCCTTTAGCAGTACAACTTAGTGAAATAATATATCATGATGTGATGTTCTCCAACACCTCTAAACTCTTCATCACTGGCGTCCTGCTGGCGCTGTTTTGCTTTCTATTCCTGAAGACGACAATACGTTCAGTATTCTCACTTCGACCCACCACTACACTTCAGAAACAATCATCACTAAATCATCAGGAAAATACAAGTAAAGTCATATTTAATTCAACGGACGGTCAGCTTGGGACGGCTCACATTGAAGTGGTCGAGAGAGATTTCTGTACTCTTCCTCACTGTGAGTTCTTGCTCAGTAAATACGACAGGTCCTGCATCGAGTTGTGCGGCAAGAAAGCTTTCAAGAACGAGTCAGTGAGAGTTACAGGAGACTGTGAGTTCATGAGTGGAGAGGGGAGGGCTCCAGTGGCTCTGGTCAGCCTACCTGGCAGTGGGAATACCTGGATCAGGGGACTACTGGAGAAGGCCACTGGGATATGCACTGGTGAGAATTATTAATGGTCAACTAACTACTCAGCTAGGTAGCTATAGTGTAACTACACAGTGTCCACTATTTCTTTCCATTTTGATTAATCCACATCTCAGTAAGTTAAGGAAGTGCTGTGAGTCAGTGCCAATCTTTACATAGAATCAAGTCCCCAAGAATAGCTCATAGTGTTCCATTTTATGGCTGATACACTACAATAATTTTACCAATTATTGTTGTAGGTTCACTGTACTGCGATTCGAGCCTTAGGAAGGAAGCTTTCGACGCAGAAGCTGTCGTAAGTGGCAGTGTACTGGTAGTCAAAACCCATCGCTCCAGATTCTCGTGGACACACATGAGTACCCCTCCTAAATACCCGGACAAGGTAGTTGTGTTATGCTCAGTCATACATTACAACCAAAAATATTTGGCCTCTTTAGTTTCAAGGGTATGTCCAACCCAGTTTTGGAGCGGCCGTTCTTCTTCTGCGGAATCCTTACCATGCCCTGCTGGCCGAGTGGAACCGACAGAAGAGTAACAAGACCCTCAGTGCTGATGCACTCAACACTACCATTGGTGTTGCTGCACACATTGCTATTGGGGATCAGAAGACCTTTGGTAAAGATAAAAGCACTAAACACTCTAGCTTCACGTACATTTTTTGCTCAATGCAGGTACAAATGAAGACTGGACAGCTGTCATTCATATCATGATGAAAAATTTCAGGAATTACATTAGGAATGTGGTTCTCGAGTCACCACGAGACCTTCCCAAGTTGGTGGTCCGCTACGGGGACTTTCAGAGAGACAGAGTCAGAGAAGTGTCACGTGTGCTGGACTTTCTCCATTTCCCCTACTCTCGTGAGACTCTGAGTCAGAGACTGGAGGAAGACTTCACCACCTTCCACAGAAGTAGACACCCAGAGTTTGAGGCCTTCACACAGGCTCAGGAACAGTTCATAGATCACAGTCTGAGACAAACTCTCGACAGTCTCTCTGCCAGGAACAACGGAGAAACGTATGGAATTGAGGAGTATCTTAGAACCTAGCAACTGTTTTGTATATCATTGTTATTGAGGAGAGTTTGGTAGCAAGCCAAGCACACGTAGAGGTTGCGGAATGACTTCCTACGTAACATGCAGAGTAACATATACCACCGCGAGGTCGCACACGCCAAATGACCCAACGTTTGTAGCCGGATTTCAGAGCTGGATTTATAGCCGTTGTGGTCGATTTCAAGCACAGAGACGCCCTGAGATAATAATTATGGCGATTCCCTTGCGCGCATGCGCGCGTAGGGGTAAATTCCGATCCTATTGCAGGGGGGTGGAGCCTTAATGAGGCGGCTCCACGTGCAAACCACCGCGTACCGCGCGCTGGACGTCGTCGGCGCGGCGCCGTATAAAAGCGGCGAGGCTCAAGTAATTAGCGTATACGTATAATATACGACGGAGAGAGGGAATGTTTACGAAACACATCCAGCTTGCTTTTATCCTACTGGCTCTCCTTATGTTGAGCCTTCTCTTTCTGTCGAAGACATTTATCAACGGACAAAGTAAGATTCTGTAGCTATAGCTAGCTAGCTACCTAATTGTTAGCCATAGCGGGATACCTCCGTGCGTGGTTGGCTCATCGTAAAACTACGAAATGGTCTCACTCTGTGATTCTGATCAGCATGCCTCTGTAGCCCATATAGCACGCCTCACCAGGGTCTTTCGCGTAATATGCGTAATCCCGAGGGCGTAGCTATATACCCTTCCTCCTGTAGCTAGCTGCCTTGCTAAGTGCGGTTCATACATCGTGAATATGATACACCGACGGTTCAGAGTTTTACTCCATACATCGGGAAGCTCATTATCTCTCCATATTACCTGTTACTTTTTACACCTCCTTAGGCTACTCCCCACAGCAATTTCCCATTGTTCTGAGGCATAGCCAGGGTACAATGCAGAATACTTCACTCGCTCGCTGCATGTCGGCACGCTCTAACCTGAGTGAATTTGACAGAGCCAACTACGAGCAGTGCTGCACTAAGGTGAAGCCCACGACAATAATTACGGGAGACTGTGAGTTCATGAGAGGAGAGGGGAGGGCTCCAGTGGCTATGATCAGCCTACCTGGCAGCGGGAATACCTGGATCAGGGGACTACTGGAGAAGGCCACTGGGGTATGTACTGGTGAGTAGCTAACACTGTTGCAGACATTAATTTTGCTTGTGTGGAGCCTATAAGAGATATATAACATCCTACAAGTATAGCTAAGAATGGCTCTGAAGTTGTGCATATTAATTGGTCTGCCACACAAAACCGGCAGGTATTTATTTATACAATCTTGTTCATAGGCTCGATATACTGTGACGTGGGTCTGAGAAATATGGGGTTTAGTGGGGAAGGTGTCATAAGTGGTAGTGTACTGGTAGTCAAAACCCATCGCATCAGAAACACATGGATGGACAAGAGCAATCCTCGGACCACTTACACAAATCAGGTATATTATTATACAATTTGCAAGGTGCCAATGCTGCATGGTGAAGTGCCACGGGTAAAGAATCTGGCATGTTTGTTGAAAGTAACGTAAGACACTGTGCTCACTCAGGGCAGCTTTGGGGCTGCAATTCTACTCCTGCGGAATCCTTACCATGCCATGCTTGCTGAGTGGAACCGAAAAAGGAGCACGACCATTCTACGAAATAGGAAGCCCTTTGAAGAAAAACGGAAGAGTATTCTCCCTCGTGGAACACACTTTACTGCAAGAGTCATGGCTTCACACCTTGGTACTGTAAATCAGCAGCACTTTGGTAAGTCCAGTGTTAGCCTTCGAATGGCACCTCTGACACGCCTCTCTAAAATTCTGTTGCTAATGGTTTAGTAACTATGCAGTGTCAGTGTGTCCTTAATTTTTCAGCAGTTCCACTGAACTAGAATTTTCAGCAGTTAGTAGGCTCGACAATGATAATAACAATGCTATTCCTTTTAACAGATCCAGATGATCAATGGAACTCTTTCATTGATTTAATGATGGGGTATATGTCTCGTTACATTGAGAATGTGCTTTTTAAGTCACCACGAGACCTTCCCAAGTTGGTGGTCAGCTACGAGGACTTTCAGAGAGACAGAGTCAAAGAAGTGTCACGTGTGCTGGACTTTCTCCATTTCCCCTACTCTCGTGAGACTCTGAGTCAGAGACTGGAGGAAGACTTCACCACCTTCCACAGAAGTAGACACACAGAGTTTGAGGCCTTCACACAGGCTCAGGAAAAGTTCATAGATCACAGTCTGAGACAAATCATTGAGAGTCTTTCTGCCAGGAACAATGGAGAGACATATGGAATTGAGGAGTATCTTCGAACTTAGCAACTGTTTTGTATATCCAGTTACAACATTGTTATTGAGGAAAGCTTGGTAGCGAGTTGCACAAGCCAAGCACTACAGAGGTTGCGGAATGAGCACAGCACCTTCCTAACATGCTCATAGAGTCTATGTCATCAAATTCCTAACTCCAATTCATGTAACCAAGAGCTGCATCCTTAGACGGTTAGCTTATTCCTGGTAGTTCAGAGCAATGTTGCTAGTTCCTAAGCTAAAT